ATACTCTCCTTGATGGCAGCATTATAGACCCTAGAAAACAAGTAACCCATGACTCTTGACCCTTCAATTTAATTGAATTAGTGTTTTATTATATTGTTCTCTATTCCCTCTGCCTATCATGTTATATTAGTTAAAGTAATGGTTAAAATGTTGGTGATACTTTTTATGTTTGTGCTTATACAGCAACCAATTTCCCCAAACCTGGCTATGGCCCTGAATAACCCAGCTCTGCGGGAAGCCTCCTATACTCTTCCCGATGGTACCATTGCGATTGACCCCAGGAAACAAAAGTCCCCAAACCTGGCAGCGGCACTTCAGAACCCTTACCTGAGAACTGCATCTTACACCCTGCCAGATGGCACCATCATCATTGATCCACGGCTACCTGTCTCTCCAAACCTGTCCAGAGCCCTTCAAAACTCTGCCATGAGGAATGTCTCCTTCACACTACCGGAAGGGGTTGACCCGAACACACAAATATCACCAAACGTGATTCAGGTTAGCTTTGGATACAGATTCTTTGACTTTTATTGGTTACTTTGTGTGTGTGTGTTGATCTAGCTCTCTTGGTTTCCTCCTCATCAATATAGTAAGTGCGGAGTGGTTTGAAATTGTTTCGACAAACAGTTCTTTTTGCAAATAATAACTGGTATTCAAACAAACTAAGATGCTGCTTTAATTTTACTGAAGCTTAATTGAATTGTACTTGTTTAACCTCCCAGGTCTATTTTAACTGAAACTAGCTGTTGTTATACATAGGCCCTCAATAACCCAGCCTTGAAAGCAGCTTCATACAGCCTCCCAGATGGAACCATTATAGTGGACCCAAGAACACCAAAGAGCCCCACCCTGACAGCTGCTTTGCAAAACCCATATCTGAGGGATGTGTCTTACACCATGCCTGATGGAAGTGTCATCATTAACCCATGGAAACCACTTGGCCCTAACCTGTCTTCAGTATGTACCTGTTAAACCTATTACCATAATTTAATTTCATTGTGTTTTAATGCAGTATATAGAAAAGTTGAATTGCACTTGTTTAACCTCCCAGGTCTATTTTAACTGAAACTAGCTGTTGTTATACATAGGCCCTCAATAACCCAGCCTTGAAAGCAGCTTCATACAACCTCCCAGATGGAACCATTATAGTGGACCCAAGAAAGCCAAAGAGCCCCACCCTGACAGCTGCTTTGCAAAACCCATATCTGAGGGATGTGTCTTACACCCTGCCTGATGGAAGTGTCGTCATTAACCCGTGGAAACCACTTGGCCCTAACCTGTCTTCAGTATGTACCTGTTAAACCTATTACCCTAATTTAATTTTGTTATATTTTAATGCAGTATATGGAATAGTTGAATTGCACTTGTTTAACCTCTCAGGTCTACCTTAACTGATACTAGCTGTTGTTATACTTAGGCCCTCAGTAATCCAGCCTTGAAAGCAGCTTCATACAACCTCCCAGATGGAACCATTATAGTGGACCCAAGAAAGCCAAAGAGCCCCACCCTGACAGCTGCTTTGCAAAACCCATATCTGAGGGATGTGTCTTACACCCTGCCTGATGGAAGTGTCGTCATTAACCCATGGAAACCACTTGGCCCTAACCTGTCTTCAGTATGTACCTGTTAAACCTATTACCCTAATTTAATTTTGTTATATTTTAATGCAGTATATGGAATAGTTGAATTGCACTTGTTTAACCTCTCAGGTCTACCTTAACTGATACTAGCTGTTGTTATACTTAGGCCCTCAGTAATCCAGCCTTGAAAGCAGCTTCATACAACCTCCCAGATGGAACCATTATAGTGGACCCAAGAAAGCCAAAGAGCCCCACCCTGACAGCTGCCTTGCAAAACCCCTATCTGAGGGATGTGTCTTACACCCTGCCTGATGGAAGTGTCGTCATTAACCCGTGGAAACCACTTGGCCCTGACCTGTCTTCAGTGTGTACCTGTTATTATAATTACGTTTTGTTGCAGTATGTGTTTCAATGCAGTGTCTGTTTTCCTACTTGCATGCACTCTGCCCGTGCACTCGTGCAAACCAAGAGTTTCACACAGGCAGATGTGTTATCGTTCTGTTTTTATAGCTAGAGGTAGGGAGCTATGGCAGAGAACATACCCAACATAGCCACAGTAGCTTTCAGACACAAATGGAGATCATATTCAAGAAAGTTACAGCTAAAAAGAAGTAAAACGTGCAAGAAGTAAAACCAGAATTAACATTGGTGTGGCTTTTGAATAATGGTGACAACTGAGACAACAAAAGGCGCTGAAAAGTGATGTCATGGTGGCTATATTTCTGCTGAACTGATATCAGTTTTGTTTTGTTGGGAGGGGGGATCTCTTATTTTTCTGAAATCTGTAAGTAGTAGTCAGACAGTGTGCGTTGTGTTTCGGAGGCGTGGCTTTGGAGAGAAGTCAGAATAAAAGGGTTGGTTTTCTTCTGTTGTCTACTTTCAAAATTGAGCTTCTTTTTGCTTGTTTTTCTGAAATCAACTGTTGTTATACTTAGGCCCTCAATAATCCAGCCTTGAAAGCAGCTTCGTACAACCTCCCTGATGGAACCATTATAGTGGACCCCAGAAAGCCAAAGAGCCCCACCCTGATAGCTGCCTTGCAAAACCCCTACCTGAAGGATGTGTCTTATACCCTGCCTGATGGAAGTGTCGTCATTAACCCATGGAAACCACTTGGCCCTGACCTGTCTTCAGTGTGTACCTGTTATTATAATTACGTTTTGTTGCAGTATGTGTTTCAATGCAGTGTCTGTTTTCACTAAAGCTTAATATTTTACTCACTGCAGACATATGAATATACTAACTTGCACAATTTAGTCAACTTGATGATAACCTTGAATAAACTCTGGTGTCCTGTTCCTGCCATCTGCAGGCTCTTAAGAATGACGGCCTTCGTAATGCATCATACCAGCTGCCTTATGGTTCTGTGATTATCCCTGGCCAGAAGCCCAGCCTTGGATTTGCTCTGAGGCAAAAATCGGCACTTCGTTCTGGAGGTCTCTATCATCTGTCAGAACAGTCTCCACTGTCAGGTATGCCCAACCCGACCGTTGCCTCGGCATTGCAGAATGAGGAACTCCGTGGTGTCACTTACAGGTAAGGACCTGCACTATTAAACAAAACTAAGACAGAATGATCATATTGGTTTGTCCAGGTGTTGCATGAAATAAGGCTTCAGGGTAGGCATGAACCTTTATGCAATGTTGAAAGAAATATCAGCTCGATAAGACCAATGACAGATTTAAACACAACACTGGTATAGCCACGTGAACTGTCCATTTACAATTTATCAACAACAGTTCGTTAGATTTTCATGCGAAATTTGGGTACAGGAATATTTTAAAAGATTATTCACCACTGGAAAGGCTGTTGACTGTATGTGAGTCCCCTTGTGGCTAAAGTGCATGGCTGCACTACCGAACATTCCAAGCACATACAGAGACAAATCTCTGGGTTAGTGACAGCTGCCCATTCATTATCAATGGAAACTGAGTGCTGTCACTCACTACGCCCCACTGTGTGACACATGAAAGTGAGGCCAGACCAGAGCCCCTTGGTGGGGATCTGCACTGTCTGAATGCTGTCTAGTTTTGTCAGTGTTTTAGATCTTTGGGTCACATGTTTTGTATTTAACAGATGGAAACTTTTGGTCACATGTTTTGTATTTACTGATTACCCCACAGGTTCTCAGATGACTTTGTTCTCACACGTCGGTTCCACAACCCAAAAATGTCTGATGCCATCCAAAACCAGCATCTTCGCTATGCTTCATATAGGGTGCCAACACCCCTGCAAGGTGAGGATTATTGCTATGCTGTGGTTCCTCCCTACGGACCACGCTCAGGCCACTGGGCCAGGAACGCCCAAGGAGGGGGGGAAGAAGGGGAGGATGTTTGGGCAGCTGAGAGGGTTTTGCCACATGGAACGGTCCAGAATCTGTCAAAGTGGTCCATGTACAGAGAAGATGGGATGTTAGAAGGATATTCACCCACACCTCAATTTGTTGACGGAAAGCCTCAGGACCCTGACTGGACTCCTGACAGAGAAAGAGTACCTGGTCAAAGCTGGTTTGACAAGGTAGCTAATTCATGTGTGCTTGTAATGGTGATATTTACCCATCTTCATGAGGATTGAACTTATGATTCATATGACAGCTGATCGACAATAAATTGAGATAGGAATGAGTGAAACAGACATTATTTCAGCAATAACTGTAAACCACACAACACAGTAGCCGGATGACCCACAAAAACATTTTCACGTAGAGTTTGCAAATAAAAATATGAACACTTTTGCATATTTTACATCAGCTCTGCATCGAACGATGACAGTAGCCTTCAAGCTTTGACAATGTTTACATACTATTGTGCATGTGTGTCCAGATCAACTCTATCCTAACCATGCCCGCAACAGGCCACAGGGTAAAACGCTGGGCAGAGGGAATGGAGGACATGACACAGCTGCCGTAAGCACAGTCCAGTATTAACACCCACCCTCATAGCATGTTCACTCATGTTGCACATTTACCAGAATTTTGTTGCTCCAGTATAGAGCACCACAGTTTATTTCAATGTATGTGTATTTAGTTTCTGAAAGTGTGTGTGTGCATTCCAGTGTGCCTGTAGGCTTTAAAAATCCTTGAACATTTGTGAAGCTCAAAGAGAATTCCCTAGCATTAACTTAAGTATGTTAAGTACATAGGTACTGTGTTGGTATGTAACACGCAGGTAGCGCTCTGTCAGATCATCATCCTTCTGTATCCCGAGGAAACCACCACAACAGATACTGGTGTGATTTCAACAACAGCTTGAAAGAAATTACTGCATTCTACAGAAATTTTTTTGATGTGATCCCAAGTAAAAATGTTTTACAAGCTGACTTTGACCACATAATATTACCAGTTTTCACAAAAGAATGTCCTTAAAAAGTATCTAATTAAATGTGTAAATAATTCTGTGAATCCTGTTCCAGTATGACAATATGCACACGTGTCTGTATCCGTTTAATTTCAGTGAGCTGAATGAAACTACAGTCCTCATGAACCTGAAGAAGCGCTACGACCAGGAGCTCTATTATGTATGCCTAATTTCAAATATGTGAATGAAACACAGTAACTCATATCATCACGTCATGGGCGCTGTCAACTATATTCACTCTATTTGTCATTTCTTCTCTTCCTTCAACACAGACCTACATAGGCAGCATCCTCGTGTGTGTAAATCCCTACAAGTTGCTCAACATTTATGGCACAGACGTGGTGCTTCAATATGAAGGCCGCAACCTGAGTGACAACCCTCCGTAAGACCCAGGAGTGTGTGTGTGTGTGTGTGTGTGTGTGTTAGCCTCGAAACCTGCTTTTAACAAGAAGGATCAAACATTTTCTCTAAATAAAATAACACATTTATGAGATTGTGCAGCCTGGGGGACAATATAAGTTCCCTGACTACTTTCTAAAACTCTTTAAGCCTCAACTGAAACCTTTGAGTGTGTTTCTGTGTGATTGTACTGTCGTCATCTGTCCACATGTGGGAAAGGGTTAGTGACAGCTGCCCATTCATTATGCCAGAACTCTCAGGTTAGTAAGAGGCTCCTATTACACTGTAGTTGGTTATGGATTTCACTGCAACTTTACATCTACACACAGAGACACACACAAACAACTTATGAGCATCCAAATGTCTTTGTTCATTAAAAATGTTTTCTTGTGTTATAGTCATCTTTTTGCCATTGCTAATCTCGCATATACCACCATGATGGATGCCAAAAAGGACCAGTGCATTGTGATCAGGTATAAAATGCTTTTACTGTTAGTCATTTTTCACTCTGGCTATGACTAATTTTAAAAAGCAGCACTTGGCCAAAACTCTAAAACTCTATGTTGTGTTTTAAACTTTGAAATGCTATTTGCCTGTTTAAACATCGGTTTAGTTTTTGCACAGGTAAATTTTTTTTGACAGCACCAATTTTATGATAATTTTATTACTGTCCACAATGTGCAACTTCCATAACTGTTTTTGTTTTCGTTTTTGTACAGCGGAGAAAGTGGGTCAGGAAAAACAGAAGCTACAAAACTGATCCTGCGTTACCTGACAGCCATACATCACAAACGAAACGTCACACAACAGGTAGATACTGTATAATATGTATCAGTAGGTACATATATGCAAATACAATAAATATTGTTCGTACTCTGGTCATTTAATGCTGCTTTCCCTCCTTCTCATTTCTTTTCTTTTATGCCATCTCCCGTCAGATAGAGGTAACGTGTTCCTGTCGTTGTGTCAAACATCCTCCCAGTTTATTGTAACCAGGCTAACATTTGTGTGTGTGGTCACTGGTCAGATCCTAGAGGCCATGCCCCTGCTGGAGTCTTTTGGGAATGCCAAAACAGTGCGCAATGACAACTCTTCACGCTTTGGCAAATACACACAGCTCTACATGGAGGAGTAAGTAGTTTCAAGTTCAAATAATGTGTGTTACTGTAGCTTAACTAACTGATAGGTCAGCCTTGTACACATCTGCATACATGCATGTTACTGTATCTTTGTGAGGACACTCAGTGACATAATTCATTCCCTAACTCCGTATCCCAGTGACATAATGCATTCCCTAACTCCGTATTCTAACCTTAACCACTGCAACTAAATGCATAACCCTAACACTAACCTAAAACTAATTCTAACCTTGACCCTTAAGGTGTTAACCCTTAACAACCAATTGGGGGTATGTAAAAAAAAAAAAAAAAAGTGAGGACTGGTCAAAATGTCCTCAGCTAGACAGTTGGATGAGTAGTTGCTCTTTTGTTGGAACTGTGACAGAGAAGATCGAAGTACATTACACATAAATGATGTGTTACTTAAATTGGACTTAACATCTGTGTACGAATGTGCCTGTGTGTGATTTACCAGGGGTGTAATCAGTGGTGCCATAACGTCTCAGTACCTATTGGAGAAGTCCCGCGTTGTCTTTCAGGTACAAACAACACGCACATACACACACACATGCAGCAGGTCAGGTGGAGTCTTCTTACAACAGTCACTGTGAAAAGGAAGAGATTATAGAGGCAGACAGCCAGAGTGGTGTCAAACATGTTATCTACCTGTGTCTCCACCCAGCCCAGTCTGTCCATCAGTCATTCATCCATCTATTTTATCCACCTATTTACTGGTTTTTCTTTATTACTAGTTCCACTTTCTGTAAACCTCCCACCACAGATCTAAATGATATGTCAGTGAGTCTATGTGTGCATGTTGTTGATGACTTCTGAACATGTCCGTGTGTGTTTGGGTGTGTGTATTCCCACAGGCCAAATATGAGAGGAACTACCACATCTTCTATGAGATGTTGGCAGGTCTTCCTCCTAAAGAGAAGAGCTCACTGTATCTGCAGGAAGCTGAGACTTACTATTATCTGAATCAGGTGCTTACACGCTCTGCCACAGAAACACACACACACACACACACACACACGCCACAGATAAGGAGTGGTCACTGTAATCAATTTCACAGTCACAATAACAAATGAGATGTCAATTTTTTAAAGATGTGACATTTATTCTGCAAAATGATTAATGGCACAAATATAAAACTCAGCGCTGTGCTCAAATGCAGTGTGAGGAACTTTCACAGCCTGCGTTCTCTGCATCTGAGATATATTGAGTGATAAATGTACTTTGCTGATTTCTTCCCAGAATTGATGTATAACTTGTTACTGTGCATCTTCTAGTGAGAATTTAATGATTGATGTCATGGTCATTATGTGGTCTACAGCCTGTAGTTGTTTCTAGTCTTTTTAAACAAAGCAACATCTACAGTACTTGTGCCTCCTTGTCACACGTTGTATACATTATGCCTGTGTGTTGTAACGAAGGTAGATGGAAACCCACCTAGGAAAACATTCTGTAGAGTACGCTCAACATTTTTCTATCTACCTGTTTTTATGTGTTTTCAATTAGCATGTACAAATCTAAGTAAAAACACTGGAAATTGCACAAGAAAGTGCAATGGAAACAGAGCAAATTAATCATGATCTTTATGAATCATGTGACTTAAATGTCCACTGAAGAGATGAAAAATAACTACAGACCAAAACAGATCTGTGTGGAGCCATGAGGAGATATTAATGTTCCTCAAGTTAATACATGAGACACACTTCTGTAATATTTTTAATATTTTTCATTACTTGAGCTTTGACTGGCGCTAGTTGTGCCCTCTTCATCAGCAATGCTTTAATGACACTGGATGTTTATTGTGACAGAATGACTCCTACTATGCAAGTAACAATTGGAAACATGCAAAAAGTGGGTTAATGTTTGCAGATTTTCTTACAATTTGGTTCAAATTTGCTCTACATTTGGATGAGAACTCACTGAACATCCCATGATATTCAGATGTCATATGCCTGTTGTTACTTTGTTAGCTTTTATTGTACCACTTCGTAATATCTAAGCCAAGATGTTGCCCCTGATAATGCTTAGTATACAGTAGATCCTTCACTATTTACTATTGGTTGTGTAAGTTAGTTGTTATCATTACAAGCACTGTGGCTTTTTTTCTAAAGAGTAATTTAACAACAGGCTGAAAAATAGTGCTTCTCTGGTGGAAAATGTGCTCTGTTGCACCAGTAATCACGCCTAGCAATGATATCACAGTGCACTGACACACCCTCAAGTAGACTTCTACATCACTGCAGCAAAGTGAGACCTTAATCCTCAGGTAAACAAGACTTTCAGTCGATGAAAAGTTACTTTTTAATTTTTAATTAGGACTGTGATCAAAGAGGGTGAGGGTAAGTATGTTGCTGCTGATAATGGTGTATATGTGTGTGTGTACATGAGTGCAGGGAGGGGACTGTACCATAGAAGGGAAGGATGATGGGGAGGACTTCAGGCGTCTCCTGGGTGCCATGGACATCCTGTGTTTCACACCGGAGGAGAAAAACAGCATCTACAGATTGCTGTCCTCTGTTCTTCATCTAGGGAATGTTTACTTTCAGCCACACCAGGTCTCTCTGTCTGTCCAAAATGTCCTCACTTTCCCATCTCGTCATTCTTATGTTATAAAACTCAAACAGATCTTCACACTGTTGGTCGAACAAGTACACACACATACACACACAAACAAATTGGTTTCACAAATGCCCTTAGTTTCATGGCTGAATGATAATGATGATGCTGATAGGTGATGATTATAATGACTGTGTATGTTTATGCGTTTCCGCAGGCTGAGGATCAGGAGGTCGCATCCGTGGTGAGTGCACAGGAGATCAGGGTGGTTGCTGAGCTGCTGCAGGTCTCACCTGACGGCCTGCAGAAGTCTGTCACCTTTAAACTGACAGTGAGAACACAAATACACACACTCAAACATTACAGATATACTGTAATTAATTATAATATAAAAATAACAGAGATATTGTGAGAAATTAGATGTGTCTGACCCCCAGGATACAGTACGGGAAAAGATCTACACTCCGCTCACAGTGGAGAGTGCTGTGGATGCCAGGTGAATAAAGGTCTCAATAGTATCTCTTAAATTAAATAGTGAGTACCTACTTGTGCTTGGAATAACCTGGAATAAAAGCCAGTCTGACAGTCTTGTTAGAGGCTTTTTAATGTCCTCATCTCTTTTTTTAAACTCCTCTCTAAAGTCAAATCAAGAGACTACAGAAGGGGGGTGAAAAGTCTTTGATATTCTTATCCACTCTTTGATAGAGGCATGTGAGGACAAAGGACGTCAGGGCAGGGGAAAAGATTTTTCAGATGTCCTCTGTTTCCATAGAAACTGGGTTTTCTGTTTCCATAGAAACATTATTATGTGTTTTCCATAGAGATGCTGTTGCCAAGATCCTGTATTCGCTGCTGTTTAGTTGGCTGACAGAGCGTATCAATGGACGGGTCTACCCTCGCAACGAAGCCCTCTCCATCTCCATATTGGACATATATGGTTTTGAGGTCACACTGATATAAAATCTTGTTGAATAATGTCACAGTACTGATGCTCAGAGCTGACCTGTGTTTATTAAGCCACCCCCCTCCCCAATATCTCTTCACTTTCCCTTCCAGGAGCTACAGGTGAACAGCTTTGAGCAGCTTTGCATCAACTATGCCAATGAAACTTTGCAGTTCTTATTTAACAAAGTCATCTTCCTCGAAGAGCAGGTGAGGAAAATGTCATGTTTTCATACACTGACTTCTCCAGTAAGGATTTATTTAGATATTTGTGTATCAAAAGACATCTAGATTAAAACCAAGATTACTTTGGTTGAAGAAAGAAAAAATATAGTGAAATTGAAATATAGTCATTCACTGTGTTTATATGAAGTAATAAGGTTGGTTATTAAACACCATATATACAAAAGATAGGGGATTAAAAACTGTTTTTCATGACTTCCTCTGGGGAAAGATGATTTTTTGTTGATCATGTATATAGATATACAGTGGGTACAGAAAGTATTCAGACCCCCTTAAATTTTTCACTCTTTGTTATATTGCAGCCATATGCTAAAATCATTTAAGTTCATTTTTTTCCTCATTAATGTACACACAGCACCCCATATTGACAGAAAAACACAGAATTTTTGACATTTTTGCAGATTTATTAAAAAAGAAAAACTGAAATATCACATGGTCATAAGTATTCAGACCCTTTGCTCAGTATTTAGTAGAAGCACC